TAGGGAAAAGATAGACTAGCATTTATTAGACATCTCAAGGTCTATGTTAATTCACAACTTGGGTAGAATTAGCAAAGGATAATTAAAACAACGATTGGAGGGTAAGAAACACGTGAATGACTCTTTGACTTACTGCTGTTTTAATCTAGGCTGAGAAATTCAGTATGTCTAAAAAAATACCAGTTCTGATTTCTTTCTCCCCCCCACCCAACCCTGGCCCTAGTAATATGAAAACAAATGAAATGTATTAAATGCTTATAGGTTTGTCTTTTATTCCTCACCATTGGAAAAAAAAAACTTATTTTCTAAAAATTCTCTTTACTTACACAATATATGATATGTCTTGGCTATTCTTGCAATGTAGGACAGGGAAAGTATCTTATGTGTGCAGACAGGTAACAATATAAAGGAAGTTTAGGACAATTCCTGTAGCTCCATGAGGTGACATGCATTTTGCTGTCACTTTCTGAGATACAGAATACTAAAGAGACAAGAAATCATACATGTGACCTAGCAAGATGACCACAGTTTGCAGGTGTCCTTTACTGATCTTACTGTGCAATCCATTCTAGTCATTTGAAGAATGCTTTACTGCATCCATGTGTGAACAGGAGCAAGTAAGATCTCTTATTTAAGAGAATTTATTCTTGTTTGAGATTTCAGATTTTTATATTGCCCAGAGACAGAACATAAGAATACCTGAAGCTCTGTTTTTATTTTAATCTGGCTGGCTCTGTCTGTTACCAAATTGCCAAAGGAACTAGGAACTTAATGGGAAGTTTTATCTCTTAATTTTGTCTAATAATTTAGTTGCTTCTTTCACTTCTTGGTGGTTGTCAGCTTATATCTTCTGCTTTGTGGGTCTGGTTGGTCTTTCCTTTTCCTTTAGGGCAAGACACTGAAGCATTTTCTATAGATCTTCTTGAGAATGTATAGCAGCATTATATAGTATCAAAGAGCAAACGACTGATACTCAATTTGTGCTTTACTGTTGCTCGAAGTATGTGCTGGGAGAGATAGAACACGCACTTTTGTCTTTTGAGAGTTTGCAAACTTGTAGAAATTTTGATAGTTCCCAGGATTTGTATTGAATATAAAGGTCTAAAAATATACTGCCATCTTAGAAAAATATACGCTGTTGCTATCCAGTTCCAGTAAGTAATTTTTTCTGCCTTCTGAGGGTAATCATCAGGAATTAAATTTCGTGTTCTTCAGTGTTTTACTTACATTATTTGCACCATACATCAATTCTTGATCTTTGAGTGTGGATGAATGCAAATAGTGAACATCCTTAAACCTTCACATTCACAAGAGCAGCTTCTTTATTGAAAGGGTTCAGCTTCTTTATTTTCCCGGCTTGTTATGTAGCTTTGGAAGTAGTGTGGTATTAAGAAAAAGAAGAGTGTCAAAGTGTGACTGCAGGGAATAAGCACATGTATAGATGAGCTACCAGTGAGTGATGTTAATTTCTCTCATCTTCAGTAATAAAATAAAAACAAAAAAACCCTTGTAAAACAGAATTATCTCAGTGAATTAGGTATTACTACAAAACTTTTAGGGACAACAAAGACTATTTCTGGGACAACAAAGACTATTTCCCTCAAAATTGTTATGGTAATTATTAAACCAGTGCTGTATCCTGTCCTGATACACAAGAAAAACCCTGAGGTTAAAGGGAAGCAGTTCTGCAGTCTAGAAGCAGCAGAAAACAGGTGAAGAGTTCATGTGAGTACATTCCCGAGCACTGTGCTGAGTATCTGCCCAGAATAAGCCTTCTGAGAGATTTTTTTATTGATGTCTCTAGGAGGTAGTAGTTAAGTGAATTAATATTTTAATTGTTCAGAGCTGAAGCTTCATTTCTGGTCTTCAAGGGTGTGTGTGCAATCCAGCTGATATACTTCTTTGGAGAGTTATCTAATTGTTAGCATATCTGATCAGACATTACAGAACAGAATATTCATGTTCTCCATTTTCTTGGTAGCAACACGTAACCACTTGATCATAACATGTATTTTCCAAGTGCTGTGACAACTGAAGTAATCTTGATGTAAAGGCTGTGTGTTCCACCCACAGTGCAAAGGGAGCACAGAGCATATAGCTTTATGTACTATAACATGAAATAAATACGTAATGACTACAAGATGCTTTTTACTAAAAATACGGAAATGATAATTTGTCCTGTTCTAGTGTCAGTTGAGATAGCAGTATTGCTTCTCCAAGTTTTCTGCAGCTTTCTATTCATAAAATTAACGGTGAATATTCCTATTTCTACTTTATGATGATCTTAAATATTAAGTGGTATGTGCAAGCTGTCAAGAAAATATAAGAGAATTGGGCAATTTTAAAGTCCACAGTATTTTGACATGTGCAAGAAGGTTTTACTCTTCCTCTGTTTTCTAGTATGTGAGACTATCCACTTAGCAGCCTCCAGGAGGATTTTAACTGTTTTTAGTTGTCTTGATGTGTTGACATTTTCTGTAGATTTGGTAATTGGAAAATATTTTAATTTCACCAGTTCATTTTCTTCTAGTGAGATATTTTGGTAAAGATTCTCCTTAATGTGGGAATATTTTTGTTTTCTTATGAAGCAAGACAGTATCTAAATTTTAATCATTTTACAGATGTTTTCATTCTTTCCCGCTATTTTGACTTTTTGCAAGGATTGATGAGGGAGCTGTTTTTGCACTCAAAGTCAGCTGCACAGTACTGACTTACATGTGTTTTAGGTAGGATGTAGACTCTGTGGTAATATTGTATTGATAAACTTCGGTGTCTCCAAATTTAGCAAATTTTGCAGGCATTTTCCTCACCAGCATTGTACAAACAGAAAGCGAAAAGAGGTTACTTTATCAGGAAATGCTTTCAAGTGGTATTTTTTCCTCTAAGCCAAGTAGTCAGACATCAGGTGTGCTGCCTACAGGGTAGTTCAGTAGGAGGATTATGACTGAAATGTGATCTCAGGAAACCAAGCACTTACAAAGAAATCTTTTTGAAAGCCTTACTGTGGAACAACTGTATGAGCTGACATTGGCAGTATGAAACATTCTGTTAAAATTAAGAGGTGAATCCGCTTGCTCAGAGAGGACATGTGTCTGGGTTTAGGGGATTTTTTTGCATGAGCTTTGACTTGTGTGAGCTGTGCTCTGAATAAGTACCTCCAGAGCTGGCTAGGTTAGTGAAAATGACTGCCATCCTTTCCATAGCTTGAATGTGCTGGAGTTGTCCCAGTCACATGTGTGTTGAAAAGCCAGAAGTGGACAGTGAGAAGAAAAGGAAGATTTTAAGGGACACTTGTAATGAAACAGAGCT